AAAAAAAAAAAAAATGTACCAATAAAGTTAATGGGGAAAAAAAAAGAAAAATCTTTGACTGAGAAGCCACAGCAAAATAAACAAATGGATTTTTTAAAAATTTTAAACAAAAATGAAAAAATTTTTAATAAAAATGAATTTTATATTATTCCAGTGACCTATGAAATAATATAAAATATAAACAGTTGGATAGGTGCAGTGGACTACAACTATAATTCCAGCTACTCAGGAGGCTGAGGCAGAAAGATCACAATTTCAAATCCAGCCTGGACAACTTATTAAGACCTTGTCTCAAAATATAAATACATGAGCTGGGGATGTAGCTCAGTTTGGAGGCCTTGGATTCAATTCCCTTTTAAAACAAAATCAGAGTCCCTGAAGGAAACTAAGGATAGAGAAAATTATTTAAAGAAATAATAGCCTCAAATTGTCCAAATTTTATGAAAATTATAAATCCACAGTAGCAAAAAACTTAATGTCAGAGACAACACAAACTCACTCAAAAAGTACAAAGGCACATCATAACCACATTGCTGAAAGCCAATGTTAAAGAGAAAAATTTTTTAAGTAACCACAGGGAGGAAAAAGACACTGAAAATGTCTTCACTTTAAATGTTTACATCTCATGTTTAAATGAGCAAAGATAAAAATGACCTTAGGCTTGTAGTCAGAAACAATACAAACCAGAATACACTAAAATGACATCGTTTAAAGTGCTACAAAAAATACTGTCAACTTAGAATTCAATATCGAGTGAAAATATTTTCAAAACTCAAGTTGAGCCAGGTGTGGTGGTGCATTGCCTGTAATCTCAGCACTTTAGAGGCTGAGGCAGGAGGACTAGCATGAATTCAAGGCCAGCCTGGGTTACCTAGTAAGTTCAAGACCAACCTGAATAACATAGTGAGACCCTGTCTCAAAAAAAACAAAAAAGTTGAAATAAAAATTTTTTCATGCAAATGAAAGCTGAAAGAAATCATCACCAAAAGAAATATTAGAGGGAACCTGAATATATGGAAAGGATGAAGAGTATCGGAAATAGTTATATATGCAGTAATCACAGAAGGAAGAAAGTAATAAAAGAGCAGCAATTAGTGAAACCAAAAAAAAAGTGCAAAGAAAATAATCTATCAAATAGATAAACCTCTAGATAGACCAAAAAAGGAAAAAGCCAACATATGTCAAACATAAAGGAATACAGTAATAACGTACATCAATAGATCTGAAACTTTAAACTAAAGTACTCAAATTGATTCAAGAGAAACAGAATCTGAATTGTAGCTACTAAAAGAATTGAGTTCATAATTTAAATTCATTCCATAAAGAAAATTTTAGACCCAAATGGCTTCACTGATACATTCTATCAAATATTTAAGAAAAGGGAAAAATACCAATCCTACACAAATTCTTTAAGAAAATATAGAAAGAATGAACACTCTCCAAGTTAATATCATTGATAATGATGAAAGACTAAGCCTTAACCCTTAACTTACATTATATACCTCACATATACAGAATAGATCACAGACCTAAACGTAAATCCTAAATTATAAAATTTAAAGGAAACACAGGAGAAAATACTCATGACCGTGACTTTAGCAAAAAACCTCTTAGGTACAACACAAAAAGCACAAAATATAATAGACAAAATTAATACATTAGACCTGATAAAGAGTTATCATGTATGCTCTCCAGAGGACACTGTTAAGACAATAAGACATTTCTTTACATAATCTAGATACAATAACATAGATATGTTTTCTAAATAATTTTATTTATAATAACTAAGAACTGGAATGAGTAACTGAATTAACAAATTGTGGTGCATCAATTAGTAGCAATAAAAAGGAACAAACAACTAAGATACATCAGACATGGTCAAATCTAAAAAATATTGTGGGAAGCCATACCCAAAACAGTTCACATGAAACACAAAACAAATACAATCTATTATGACAGAAAATCAGTGGTTTCTTGGGAACTGGGGTTGGTAGGAAGCTAGGGAAGAGGACTGACTTCTAGGGTGACAGAAATAATCTTCATCTTGGTGATTTTATGGGTGTATGAGTTTGTCAAAATGTAGACAAAAAATGTGTACACATAAAAATAGATATATCTTACATATATAAACTAAAGCATAAATTTTTTTTTTAAACCAGGGATTGAACCCAGGACCTTGTGCTTTCGAGGCAGGGGCTGCACCACTAAGCTAAATCCCCGGCCCTCAATTGTTTTTTAAAGGCAGCATCAACAATTATCTAGAAAAATTAGAAACCAGATGAATGGCACTAGAGCAGAATACACAACCAAAACTCAACTCCTAATTATGATAAAAATTCTCGAACTAGAACAAAACACAACTTCGACCTAAAAGGAGCATTAACAAAACATACACTATACTCAGTGGTGAAAGACTTAAATGTTTTCCTACACAGAACAATGAAAGGATATCCATTCTACTCTGTAACCATAACCATACTTCAAAGGAATCCTCAGTAGTACCCAATTATATTTTTCCTGATAAATCTGTCCTCATTCTCTAAGATGACCATTCACCTCTTTCCATTTTTCTTCAAACTTTCTTAAACTGCTATCACTTGTACACTCTGAGATCATGATTTCACTTATTTTTTTTTTCCTTCCAGTATTGGCAATTGAACCCAAGCTTTTCCTCTAAGCTACATCCCCAGCCCTTTTTTATTCTGAGACAGGTTCTCACTTAAGTCATTAAGTTGCCCAAGCTGGGCTCAAACTTGCAATGCTCCTATCTCAGCCTCCCAAAGTGCTAGGATTACAGAATTACAGCCACCATGACTGGCTTCACCTCAGATTTTATTTTTCACAACTAAATCCACCATACAAACTCTCCTATCTTCCTATCATTAAATCTCTCAAGATAGAAGCAATGGGCTGGGGGATGTAGTTCAGTGGTTCACTTGCCTAGCAAGTGCAAGACCACAGAGAGATGAGGCCTTTATCCTAGCCATCCCTCAAGAAAAGCCACATTATCTGACCAGCTTAAAACTCAACCAGAATGTGGGCTATAAACACAAGTCTTAATCTAGAACCTCTAGAAACTGATTCTATCAACAATTCCTGCAATCAAAAGTAATGTTCAAGCCTTGAAATCTGACAGAAAAATAAAGATAAATAATCTTCAAACTTTAGTCCACCATTGTTGAGAAAGATTTTTTCCATTAAAAAGATAACTTTATTTGCTTCTGGACAATATATGTTTTAAATACTAAAAAATAAAATACATATGCAATTTGCATAGCATCTGTTCCTTACCTGCTGGTGGCGGGTGCTGGGAAAAGTGTACTGGACAGAGTGGGAAGGATACCGACTTTGTTCTGTGCTGAATGCTCCTTGGTTGGGAGGATAACCTGAACTTGACATTATCAGTAAAGAAGTCCTCACTGGGCTGTGAGATCAAGTCCAGTAAACAATCATGTTTCTAGGAAACCACCTAAATAGGATGGGAAAAAGAAAATTTATAAAAAGTAAAACACTAACTGTACATCCAATAAATTATAACTAGAGATACATAAATAAAGCCACAATTACCAGTAAAAGCACTCTCTCTTATATTCACTTAAGTTAATAAGGTTTGATAAACATAAACAGGTCTTTTCCTTTGCACTTAGAAAAAGGTTCATTGATATATAACTAATGATATAATTAGTTATAGAAAGTAAAATATGCATATAAAATCTTATCATGGGGGGCTGGGGATGTACAGTAGTTCAGTGGTAAAGTGCTTGCTTAGCAGCTTAGCATGAGCTAGGCCCTGGGTTCAATACCAAGAAAATCTTATCGTGGGTAAAGACATTATATTATAGTGATATATGCATACTCATGTTTATAGCAGCACAATTCATAATAGCTAAATCTTGGAAGCAACCTATATGTCCATCAACAGATAAATGGATAAAGAAAATGTAGCATTTACACACAACTCAGCCTACTGTACCATAAAGAGATAACTCTGAGTTGTAGGAAAATGGATGCACCTTGAAACCCTAATGTTAAATAAAATAAATCAGACACACAAGCTTAAATATCACATGGTTTCTCTTAGATGAGATAACCAAATTACAAATAAAGAACAAAATAAAAGTAGGTAATAGGAAGTAGGGAGATAGGTCTTTCTCAAATGAGAAGGGAATCAAGAGATGGAGGGGGGAGGAGGGCAGAGAAGAAAATGAGTATGAAAAAAGGAATTGGAAAAAGAAAACAGGAATTGGGATGTGTTATGTGCATGTACCAACTCGACAAAAGGAATGTAAACATTTGTACTGCAAACATGTACTAATAAAAATTAAATCAAATAGGGGCAGGGGATTTAGCTCAGTGGTTCTGCCACCTCTCTCGCAAGTGTAAGGTCCTAAGTTCAATCCCCAGTACCAAAAAAAAAAAAAATTAGCTAAGAAAAAAAATTAAATCAAATGATGAAAAAGAAAATCTTACCATATGATCTGGCATATAGCAGCCAGTAAATGACTTTTAATAAATGTCTGAGAAACAAATATGTAACAAATACTGTCTCAAATTGGAGAGATGTAAAAAAGTCAACTGTAAAAAGAACTCAAGAGTCTTACAAGGTTAGCATTTGTGCAGAGAAAATAGTCTTTATTGGGCTGGGGATTTAGCTCAATGGCACTATGCCTGCCTTCCAAGTAAGTGCAAGGTCCCAAGTTCGATCCCCAGTAGAAAAAATAATAATAATAATAACCAAGATAGCTTACACAAATTTCCAATGATGAATATCATTATACTGTATACCTAAAATGTATCAATAAAATTAATTTTTAAAAAATTTTTAAAAAGCACTGGGGATGAGAAAGCTTTCAAAGAAGAAGAAAAGTAAATCTTTGAATTCAAGGAACTGCTAATATTTCTGAAATCAGAATTTAGGAAAACTTGTACGTGCCACCAGAAGCTTGACAGCATTTCACTTTTTTTTTTTTTTTTTTTTTTTTAGCATTTCACATTTTTAAAGACTTTTCTAGTGAGACTGATGAGGAAATAAAACAAATACAAAGTTTTTTTTATATTATATAATGAAATGCATCAATATTTGAAATACCTGCATAAATGATCAAGTTTCAAAGTGACCAATATAAAACATTATAAAATTATGCATGAATGAAGATGTATCTAAAGTACAAGATAAACCAATAAATTTTTATGTAATTGATTATGAAAAGATCATTGACAAGGTTTCAGATTCTACACAATAACTAACCTTTAAAAAAATTACCACTTGTCTGGTTTTGTTGTACTGTCAAAGAATACACACAATTATCTAAAAAGTTATTAAAATATTTTCTCTTTTCCAGCTATAAAACTGTATGGAGTTGGGGTTTTTTTAAATACAGTTTAATCAAAATAATATACTGTAAGAGATTTAATGTAGAAGTAGATACGAAAATCAAGCTATATTCTATCTTCTAATATCAAGCCAGACATTAGAGATTTGCAAAAAAAATCAGTTTTATCACATTGTTTTATTTTTTTAAAAGTCACATACCAAAAAAAGAAAAGTTACATACCATAAAAAGCATAATTTATATAAACATGTGTGTATATTGGGTGCTGGGAATCAAACCCAGATCCTCCCACATGTTAAGTACAGGCTCTACCACTAAGCTATACCCCTAGCCCTCTGTTTTTAAATAAATAAAATTCCTTTAATATCTATCTTGATAAATATCAACACATATAACACATATAAGCATACTGGAGTATTAGTTTTTAAAAGGCTAAACCAAAGTTTGATGATAGGTACTCTTTAGTTTGACTAGTCTTAGGGCCTTAGAGAGACCAGTTATGCCCAGATCCACATACCCAGACACCTTGTTCTAGAGACTATCCCTCTGGTTAAGGTGTGGCTAAAATATGCTGGACCAGAGATGAACCAAGCAGGTTCCTCTCCAAAAATATGGAATTAAGAACATTAGCTACAGGAAACTGAGCTACGAGGGGCCCAGAGCAAATGTTAGTCAAGGTGAGCCAAAGAAGTGCCAGAGAAGTTACTTTACAGACAGACTAGGATAGATAAGCAGAGAGAGGCAGAAACAAGATCTTAAGAGTCCTGTGAAACAAAGCAAGCGCTCCCTTAGCTTCTACATTTGTTCCAGGGTCAGTCGCTATGAGAAGCAGCTATATTTCTTTCCTTGTCCTTAGATACCTATTAAACTGCCTACAGTCTTTGTAAACCCTTGTTTACTTAATACAGGCTGAGTAGGTTTTCACTTGTTAGAATCTTTAGGTCTCAAAAGTCCAAAAAAATAACAGAACCTTGAAAAACAATCCAATCTCATATCCTGTCAAATGATGAATGGATAAAATGTGGTATATCAACAAACGAATAGTATTCAACCATAAAAAATGGAATTAAAGTGTACTGTAACTTGGACAAACCCTGAAAACACTATGTTACTTAAAAGAAGTCAATCACAATGCATGATTTATTTTCATACAAAAGTCTAGAAGAGGGCCAGGAATGTAGCTCAGAGGTGTCACACCTGCCTGGCAAGCAGAAGGTCCTGAGTTCGATTCCCAGTACTGAAAATAAAAAAAGTCTAGAAGAGGCAAATATATAATGACAAAAAATGGATTAGTGGCTACTATGGGATAGTGAGGCAGAGATAGAGAATACTGGAAGATAGCTAAAGGGTATAACAGTTCTTTTAACTGTGGTAAAATATACATAATATAAAATTTATCATTAACTTTTTTTCTCCTTCCCAGCACTGGGGACTGAACTCAGGGCCTTTACAATGAACATAAGTCACTCAATTTCCCAACCTGGGCTCAAACTTGCAATCCCGTGTGTGCGTGCGTGCGTGCGTGTGTATAGTTAAGATGAAAATTATGTCTACATTTTCTGTTCATTTAATATTTATGTCTCTTAGAGAACTCTTAATTTTTCTGGTTCCACCATTTCAAGGGATTTAAGAGAGAAAATTCAGACAAAAATTTCAATATGCCAACTCAATTCAATTTTCCTATTTTAATCAAATTCCTTACCCAGTTAGAATCAGAAAATAAAATTTCCTAAAGAATTATCAAAACAAAACAAAGAATATTTTAAATGTTTTATGTGATACTATATAATAGATGACTATTCTAAATAAACAGACCATTCTTATTTCTCATTTCATTTTTTCTGTTGTATGAGGATAAGATGACTGACTAGCTAGCTAGCTGTCTCTCAGCCTGATTCCTCCAAGGCCCAAGGCATGGAAGTCAGCAAATATCAGGGTTGAGAGGCTTTGTGATTACCCAAATAGCACTGATTTTACAAATGAGAAATCTGAAGAATAGAGAAATTCAATAATCCCTCCAATATCGGCTGTCAGTGGCAAAAATAGAAGCTAGTTTTGTTTTTTTTGTCAATCCTTTGCAGCTTTCTCAGCAAGTAGTGAACTACTCCAAGGAGTTAAAATATTCAGTGGATGGGGCCGGGGATTTAGCTCAGTGGTTTCGCCACCTGCTGTGCAAGCACAAAAACCAAAGTTCAATCCCAGGTACCAAAAAAAAAACAACAAAGTTCAGTGGAGCCACATATTAAAACCATCTAGGGGCCAGGGATTTAGCTCAGTGGTTCTGCCACCTGCCTCGCAAGCACAAGGTCCCAAGTTCGATCCCTGGTACCAAAAAAATAAAACCATCTAGGTAACTTCTCCCTCATCTCCATACCTATATTTCTTCTATGTCTAAGGAAAAGCCAATATGTGGGGGTTTTGTTGTTGAGGGAAGGTAGAAAAAATTTTTTTAATTTTTGGAAATAAGTATTATATGACTTAAAGAATTTTTAAAAAGACTGTAAAGTAAAAAATCTCTTTCTCAACTTTGTTCTCCAGTTGCTGCTCCCAAAAGGCAACCAAGATTAGTTTCTAGAGTATCCTTTTAGAAATATCCTGTAGAAATTCATATACACGCATACATACACACACACACACACATTTTTCTACCATATAAATGACAGCATACTAGATATATACTCTTATCATTTATTACTTAACAATACATCTTGGCAATCATCTCATGAGGTCATAAACAGCTTCTTAGTTTTTCCTGATTATATGAATATTCATGAATATTTTGTAAGTTTTCTAAGTAATACTGATCTACAACCCTAAGAAATGCTTAAGTAATTTATCTCTGAGGTCTTCTGCCAAATCAGACATCCAAGTACATAAAGCTATAAATGTAATGGAGAGGCAAAGGAAAAATCTTAGCCTTGAATTATTCAAATTTTTTCTGAGTGGCCTACATACTAGAAATCCATGTGGCAGTGTGGGTTTAGGGAGTTTCTGTTTTGCTTTGCTTTGTTTTATTTGATTTTGTTTTGTTTTGAACAATGGCCAGTCCAGAGTTCAGTATCTACACTCAATGTCACGCAAATACAAATTATATGTTTATCTCTCACTCTTGTCAGTAGTCCCTCATGATGTACTA